TGGGCCCGCCAGCACGGCCCCGTGGGCCCGCAGCACGGCCCGTCGGCAGCAGCCAGAGGCAGGAAGGCAGCTGTGGGGCCATCCCGCCCTGCCCCGCTGCTTACCCAGCTCCTCCAGAGCGTCTTAGCCCTGTTCCTGCCGCCGTTAGCAAGCGAGACATCAAACCTAATACAAGGAACTTAAATCGACGGAGAAGCAATGGAGGAACAAGCACGCAAAACGCTGTAAGCCAACGACACTTCAAGTTGCTCGCTCTATGAGGTGAACAACGTCCGTAATTTACAGCCTCTGCCACCCAGCACTTTTTAGATCAGCCCCGGGGCTGTTTACAGCAACACGTACAAACATTAAAAAAAAAACCCAACCAGCCACCTCACACCAGTCACATGGAGCCTTTGACCTTCACCTCCAAACCTACATAACTATGCTCCTTTCTTTGCTTTCTATTCCTCGCTGCTCTCTTCCCCTTCCTCTCTGTCCCTGTTTTCCATCACACCACCTCCACATCCCCGAGCTGTTTCAGGCCTCCCCAATGTCCCCATCTGCCCCGGACCCCCTCTGTCACCGCAGCAGCAGCGATTAACCTTCCATCAAGGCACACGTCGGGATGGCGCGGGGCAGAGCTCCGACGCCTCGCAGCTGCGCTGCGCCTTCTCTCACGTGATAAAGGGTCGCTTTCAGCACTGCTGGGTCAAAATAGAGCCTGAGCAGAGAGATACACAGTTGGTCCTCTTCCTATTCTTCTCTAATCTCCCTTTGCTTTCTGGTGCTCAAAACCAAGCTCTGCCAGAGCTGTGTGTCATGTCAAAACTCCTCCAAAGACAACACACTTGGATTAAAAAACCACTCAGCAATAGATTGTTAAGGGAATATTGACAGCCTTATGAAGGACATTTAAAATCTAGACATTTTATGGAGATATCAGAGGAATCAAGACATCTGTCTTGTACCAAAAAGAACCAAAGGGCTCTAAGACCCCACAACACTGAATTCCCCCCTTTATTTTCTGAAGTTCTGAGCTTCCATCCAAAACCCATTCATGGCACTCCCCTAACAAAACTGATAAACTGAAGCTGACCAAGTAATTTTAGCGGCTCAGAACACCCTCGTGGAAGGAATAAACGAGATGTAAAAATATTCCAAGTTAATAATAAATTAATGTGTCGGTAGTAACACAGACACTTTCTAGTATGTGTTCACAGTGCCCCTTTAAAACCAGGAAAAAGCTCACAAGGCTCAATGTGTTAAATATTCTGATTCAGAAAATAATTTCCCTGAGAATTGGCTGTTTATTGCCATGCACTGATTTTCGCATTCAGTATCAATCCACTCAGTATCAGCATGTATCCTCACCCCAAAGTCAATGTCACAAGCTACATTTTAGGGAAGCTAAAAAAAAAAAATAAATCCAGAAAGATGCTTTTCAAACAGAGAAAGCCACTTCAGGAATTTCTAAGCCACCCATTCTGCATTACACTTCAAAACTGAGACACATTTCCCTTCAGCTGCACATCTGATGTCCTTTTGTCCTCGTAATGGGGCTGGAGCCCTCGAGCAGGTTTGTTTCAGCACAGCAAGGACAAAACAGCCAGGAGCAGCAGGGAGGTTTGACCAGAATAACTAAACATGCTGCACATCGCACTGGGGTTCGAACGGGATCTGAAGGGCTGAGGTCTGAAAAATGCCTGAATGAAGGGCTGCGGGATTTGCATGCAGGTCACTCATTTGAGCCGGGTCCTTGATTAGTGTCTGGGAGAGTTTCTAGGTGTCAATACTTCCAGCATCGGCAGACTACAATAAACCTATTTACAAACAGCACCTTCACTTGCCTTTGCCGTTGAAAAAGATCAGAGACAGAACGGACTGAATTCACCCGAGCCTCATTACTAGAGATGCTGGGAGAGCAATACAGGATAACCCCATGGGGCTGGTGCTGCTCCTCCCTCGCCCAAGGAATACACACAGCTATTCGCCATTTAGCACTGGCAGGAGGTAGCAGCCCTGCAGCACTTGGGAGGGATGCACTGCTCTGCTCTGACAACCCACATGGCAGGACGATAAAATACCCAGTGCGCTCAGAAAGCATGGCCGGGCAGCGGGCACCACTACCGTGTCTAATCGACCACAGCGATCCTTCAAAAGTACAGAGTACTGTGCCCTCAGTTTATTTTTAACATCATACTGTGCAAGAGCTGCAGCCCACTGACAGACCATCCTCTACCTACAGCTCAGCAAGGACCACCGATTTACAGGGTCAGAGTTAAGAAAACAAGAAACAGCACTGGAGGTGGATTTGTGGCTCTCTCCCAGCTGCACTGCCAAATGAGTCCCTCAGATGTGAGCCAGGACTCATGATCACAAGAGCAACAGATTGAGGAAGGAATCAGCACTTTCCAGGTTGCTTGTCTGAGTACACAGAAGTATGCTTTCAATTCATAGCAGCTTCCCAGAACACAGACATCACTGTCCCGAGTTTCCAGAACACATTTCATCTTCGAAGCACCAATGGCTTTCACAGCATGCCCTTTTCTGCCATACCACCAAAATGCAGTCCTTTCTGAGGTAACACACCCCCTGAACGGTGCCTGGGCTGGCCCAAACAAAAGCAGAAAGGGTGCTTTTCTTAATGTTCATGCAGAACAATGAAGGTTTTCTTCCTGTTCAATGAAAGATTTTTCTTGTATCTCTCCCCAGGCTATAAACATGCACGTGGAAGTTAAATTACTAATATGGGAAAATAATCGAGATGATACGAGATGAGCAGAACATGAACATCCAGCTCCGAGGACCCAGGCAGCACACGTATGCCACCTGGCCAGCCCTCCTGCACGAGTAAGAACACACAGCCCCAAGAATAGTTTTCATAAGGATTCTAAGGCCTCACTTATCTAAACCAGCCCCCAAAGGCAGGAGTCTGGCATTAACCTGCTCACCTCAGCACTATCCCAAACGATCTGCTTCACTCGAGGTGTTCTCACTATTTTCTTCCCCCCTTCCTTCCCTCCCTCCATCATACCCAGGCATTTATCAGACAGATAAACCTTTCTCAGAGGACTGTCATTCTTCCTAGTCCTTATCGTCACTGTCCTCCCATTGGGGATTTGTAACAAAAATAATGGTGGCATCAGCTGAGCTTATCACAGCTTTTAAAGGAGAAAGTGTCAAAGGGCTCCGTGGGACAAACAGTTTCTGGATATGCTTAAAATTATTCTTATATTACCAGTAAAGAATAACTCCCCTGTGGTAGGCATACCCATGTGGTACACTGAACAAGTAACTTGGGATAAACTGGATTGAAACACAGCAGCAGAAGCTGAGATCCCCATCACACAGCACTGGAAAAGTTCAGAAGTTTCAGTAGGTTTTCTGTAAGGTTAGCAATGCAGTTCCCAGAAAAGCAATCAGAAAGCTCCAGCCTACCTTCTAGATTTATCCTTTAAGAAAAAGTAATGTCTTCCCCATTAATAACACCATCGACCCAAATTTGCATCTGCAATTCTAAAAATCAGCTAATTAAAGCTCACATCACCAGCACCAGCAGAGGGAAGGAGGTCACGCGCTTACTTCGCCTCCTGCCAAAAAGAAGCCACCTCTGAAGCAAGGGGCAGCAGCTCTTCCCCAGTGCACCAGAGCAGGCAGGAGACTGCAGAGCAAGGCCCGGGAAATGCTGCATTCAAATAAAACTGGGAGGAGTGTTATGGGATTGCTTGGAAATACAGCTGGAACCGGGCCAGCACTTAGCATGCATGAAGGCTGGTTCTGTATGAATGATAAAAATAGTAGCAGCTGCTTAGATAGGAGAATACAATTTGGTCTGCGTGCAAACCCATCGCATAGTGTGGTTCAAAATCTCCCTGCTATCAAGCCAAAGAAAGATTAGGGCCAAGATAGCTTATTTTGGTATAAACTTACTTGCAAGGCCCTTCAAGAGGTCTCACTTTGCTTTGGAAAACCTTTTTGCTTCAGCATTAGGAAGGTGGGTTGTAAGCAGGCTCTGTTGGGTGACCAGTATCCCAGCAGGAGAGCCTGAAGGGATGGCTGAGGTTAGGGGCACAGCCATAGGGCACAGCCATTGCTTTGGTTTGGAAATCGGGGGACAAGGAAGTGCTTCAGGTAAAGGTACACACACGCAGGGCCAAGCCAGTCCCCGCAGGCAGGATCACTTGCCCCAGCTCTGATACATCTCCACTTCTAACACAAAACACTTGCAAAGCAGCAGGCTTCTCAGCCATGCCCAGAGAGCCATCAGCTGCACGTGTGCCGTTCTCCTTCCCAACAGCACGGTGGTCTGGGGAGGCAGAATTACCAGCTACAATTTTAAAACAGCCTATCCCACAACATTTACCTCGGCGAATTGCAAAAGGTTTTGTTTATGCAGATGGACACAACGTGGCCTTCATCATCAGCAAGAACCAACTGGAGGAAGCACGTTAATGAAAGAGCAGGTACTGGATATTGAGTTCTTCCCAAAAGATCCCACGAAGATAGAGCCTGCTGACTCGGCTGGTAGAAAGAGATACTAACAGGAACCATAATTTGTGCTCCCACTCATATTAAAGATTTAATCCTTTGTTCCAGCCCTTTGCTCACCTGAACACTCGCAGACAAGCAAATGGCCATGACTGCACCATCCCCCTTAATTCCCCAAAGCAATCCTGCCAGCAGGAATAAAGTCCTAAAATGCATATTCTGCAGCTGGGAAGCATCTGTGACCCAAACTCTGGTTCTGAGTTGTAGTCATCACCGAGTAGCACCTGCAGCATGAGGGCTATGGAGAGTGTTTTGGCCTTCATGCTAACTTGCTGCAATCAATCCTGACAATAAAATTTCTACTCCTTAATAATCACATCTTGATCTTCCCCGTTTGGTAAGCATCCTGGAAATAAACACTAAATCCAGGTCTATTCACCTCATGATTGTTTTAAGCCTGAATTGACTTATAAAAAGGCTTATGAGCAAGCTTACAAATACAAAACTGACAGTGTGAATCCCTCTCACCCACTGGGCAAGTAAATGCACTTGAGAAATTCCAGGAGGAGCCAACTCTGTGCAATGGAAGTTTTGCCATTTACTGTGACAGTCTCAACCCTGCTGTCAGCATATATCCAGGGCAAGGGACAACCACCACCCAAAACTGCTTCCATTCTTCCCCTTCCCTCTCCCTTCCTTCCTTCTCCCCCCCAAGGCAGCAGTGGATGTGAAGTGGGCACTCTCTTCCCTGTTCAGAAGCACAAGTGCCCCATTGCCCCATTTCCAAGAGCCACTGAGACCTGAAAACTCAGTGCAGCTCTCACAGTTGTTTGAAGTCTGTGCCTGTTGCACCCTGAGTGGATGAGCAACTGAGTTACCTGCTGTGGATGGGGAGGATCACTAACAGATAATGCTTGGCACAGCCCACAGGCAAATGGGCTGAGTGAAAAGGCAAAACCTTCCTGGAATAACGAGAAGCCCCCCCAAGACCTTATTCTCAGCAGATCTTTGTCCCAGGCATGCAGCTGAGCACAATTCTGCAATGTAATGATGTGCTGAATTTTCCCCTTTCTCTCTCCCTCTGTGAAGGTCACACAAGGACAACCCTTTCTGTTCCCACTAAAAGCCTTTCTCTGCAGGACTCTTCACATAGCAAGAAGGGGCACGAGCCATTCCCACCCTTCACTTGCCCCTTCCAAGGTGGCAGGCTACTTGTAAAGCTGAAATTTCAAGAAAAAAAGTCAGTTGAGATGGAGGCAGATAAGATATTCCTCCTGTAATGTTCAGAGAAAACCATCCTGCAAAGCACAGCTCTTAAGAACTAGAATTAAAATTTCCTTAAATATAAGGAAAGAGTCCATGAGGGAGAGCAGCCAACAGGAACAGGGAGTCAGGCACAGGTCAGCCTCCATCGTCGATCACCTCGCAGATCTCCCAGGCAGATTGTGCCCAGGGCAGGCCAGTGTGGGATGGGAGCGACAGCGTCGTGTCGCTGCTCCTACCGACGCCATCTGCAAACAGAAAGAGCTGCTGCATCTCTGATCTGGCACCAGTGCTGCCACATGCCCCAGCAGTCACATGCCACAAGCAGGGCCACCTTCCACTAGCCCAGGTTGCCCAAAGCCCCGTCCAACCTGGCCTTGAACCCTTCCAGGGAGGGGGCACCACAGCTTCTCTGGGCAACCTGTGCCAGGGCTTCAGCACCCTCACAGGGAAGGTGGTCATCAGCCATGGTCAAATGGCAACCAGCTCATGGGAATCTGTCTGTCTGCATAACTCGGAGACAGCAGAAAGCGAGAAAGAAAGGGTCTGACCAAATGGTACAACTGCTCCTTCTCTCCAGGAGCCAAAACATCCGAGTCAAATTTCACCACTGCCTGCTCAGCTGGAGGGACTCTGCTTTCTAGTCATCTCCCAGGGGACAGCAGCAGTTCCTGCCCTGAGGGAGGTCAAGTCTCCAGGCTGGAATTTGGCCCAGCACTGTGCTCTCTGCAAGGAGAGATCATGCCCTAACCGTGCAGGTCTCTCCAAGGAGACTGCAGCTCTGAGGGACACGTGGAGCAGCAACAACATCCTCTATGGACACGCAGCAGGTCACTTACATCCGCAAACACTTATCCTTCCCTCCGCTCGCTACCCTCTGGCCGTCTGGGCTCCAATCCGTTGCATACACCTAGTATTAGGGAAAGACACAGTTATCTCTGCTGGGAGGGGCTGTCGTTCCTGTCTCCCTCAAACACCTCGGCTTGACCAGACACCTCACCTCGTCTGCATGGCCAGGAAGATCGATGGCCAGTTTCTTCATCTTGGCATCCCAGACCTTCAGCGTGCTGTCACTGCTCCCGCTCACCAGCAAGCGGCTGTCGGCTGACCAGGCGATCTGATACACAGCCGAAACGTGCCCTCTCAGCGACGTCACGTACCTGATGGTGAAGAGGAACAGAGAAGCTGTTAGAGGAGCAGGCAGCTGGGTTTGTTCCAAACCCACCCTTGCCCAGCCTTCATGTTTCTTCTCCACCTGTGAGTAAGAAGAGTTGCTGCCGCCCAAGGCAGTCAGTTGCTACACAGTCCATAGGTGGTTCAGTCTGTCTAAAAACCCTCCCAGACGGGCTCAAGAGCCTTCTAGAGGAGGGCTCTTCATCTCAACTCCTCTGCCAAGAAACCCTTATCCAGCAGGCAACACTACAGCCTTACTGTGCAGATGGGTCCCTCCTCTCTCTGGCCAAGCAGCCTGGATTTAGAAGGACCGTTAAAATTACCGACACGAAACCCAAGCATAAAGGCTGATTTATAGGGAAGGACTGCTGCCCCAGAGAGCTCACCAATACTCTAGCTGAAGGTTAAATACTGCACTACGGGCGCACCCAAACACCAACAGCACCATTTGTAAACTACAAAAATTTACATCGTCCAGAATAAGCTGTTCTCTGGCACAGGAACCATTTAAAATGGGTCAGTTTACAGTGTGCAATGCACACGTCTTCAGGAGATCGGCCAAGAGGAACATCCCATCCCATCCCATCCGCCCCTGCCTTGGAGAGCCGGCCTTGCAGCAGGCAGACCTGTGTCTGGGTGACAGCAGGGGTGCCCACACACACCCAAGCACAGACCCTGTAACACAGCGAGAGCCAGAGAGAGGACTTCTCAAGGGTAGAGACAGAGGCAGCAGAATTACTTTTCATGAGTTCAGGCTAGAGAGATGTTGAACACACCAGGGACCTGCTGGCAATGACATTGGGGCCCATCTCTGTGTAACCTGGGCACTGCACAGAGACCCCACAGGAGCACCACACCTCTGTAACCCAGCAAACCAACTCACTTTCCTGTCCTACCATCCCAGAGCTTTATGGACTTGTCAAAGGAAGCACTAGCTATTATCCGGGTGTCTGGCGAGAAGAGAACTTGGTTAATCAACGCCTGGTGGCCCGTCATTCTCTCCAGTGGCTTCTTGTCTTCTGCTGGTTTCCAAAGAAACAGTGTGAAGTCATCTGACCCTGAGACGAGCCTTTCTGGTTCCTGGCCCTGAGAAAGGGATGAAAGAGCCCAAGGCTTGTACACGGCAGGAGTGGAGAGCTTGGGAGCTCACCAGCACTGGGATCAACAGCCAACTCCGTACAGTTACTGCTTCCACCAGGTACTAGTGTTATAAACCACAGCACAACAAAGGGGACTTACCCTGACTTGGTCATACCTCTGCTGTGCCTTGTCCTTCAGTTCTGCCACTGAAAGAGGGAGCGAAGAAAAAGAGATTTGCAATTCTTAAGTGGAAGGAAACTTGATAACCCTGTGATGCCCATTCCAATCCTGGCTCTGTGGGCCAAGCAGGTGCATCTGTGACTGCTCACCCACTTCCCCTTTCCTAAGGGCAGCAACAGGAGCAAAAGCCCTTGAAAACAGAGTGGCCTTCCCATCCCCCAGACTGCTTGACCCTGTGCATGGGCAAGGAAGATGGTGGCTGCCAGCATGACCAACACTGGCAGGGGACCTGCTCGCAGCTCTCAAGACTGCTTTGGCTCGTAGCAGCAGCAAGAAGAAACATGAGGTCTCCCCACTACCCTGCCTACCGCCTGCCCCAGCCTACAATGCAGGTGCTGCACTTACAGGAGCCGCTCACATCCTGTGGGTTGATGGTGGCTTCAGCAGGTTCGAAGGCACCGGTGCGGAGAACGTAGTCAGTGCTAAGGGCCATGGTGTTCACCCAGTGAGCGTGGCCCTGCAGGGTGCGGCACAGGACCCCCTGGGAACAAAACTACTTAGAGAGGGATGGGCAGGACAGAGCCAGACTGCGCAGGACCCACCAAACCCATTGCACTGCAGAGGCCAAGCCTAAAGTTTCCAAATCCTGCAGCCAGGCTTAGCAGGGAAGAAATGACACCGTTGTGCTTCAGGGACCGGTTTCCTGCAAGGAACTCACCAGGACAGGTTGTTCCAGGAGTGTTTCCATTTTATGCTTTTAGGGATGAAAACATTGCACAACAGCTACCCCTTCCTAACAGTGTTAAGCAACAGGCTCTGCCAGGTCAAGCAGTACCCCCGCTGCACCTCCATTTTCCAGGGCACAATCTGTGCCATGAAGAGCAAACAAAGCTACAACACAGCGTGTCCAACCCCCTTCGCCAGCAGCCCTAGGGTTGCCCGCCTCACTTACGTCCTGGCTCCTCCAGACTTTGATGGTCCTGTCCTGGGAGGAGGAGTAGAGCAAGCCATCGCCCCCCCACTTCACACACGTCACCGACTGCGTGTGGCTTGTGAGGATTTTGTCACACCTGCCCATCAGCGTGTCCCAGATGCGGATGCTGCCGTCCTTCGAGGCACTCGCCAGGTAGCGGCACTCTGGGTTTCTGGGCAAAAATAATCATCGAATCCATTTGCACAGCGCACAGAACAAATCCACCAAGCTCTTCCCTCATCAGCCCCAGAGGATTCACAAGCCCAGAAGTCCATAAAAAACAACTTGGCTTAAGATCAGAGAGGGGTCAGGCAGGGGCAGAGTGCAGACCTATGGAGGACAAGATCCCACAAGGCAGGGGAGAGGCAGACAGATGCTTCCCTCCAAACCAACTCTTGGGCTGCACGCTGGAGGCACCAATCCAGCATAAACCTGGCACCTCACCTCCTGGCAATGACCTCGGTTTTGCTGAAGGCAGCTTTAACCCACTGGCTAATGAGGGGATCACAAACTAGCACCTTCGCTGGGCATGGCTGGGGAGAGCCCTGGGCAGGGGGATCAGTTTGCCTTACGCAGGCAGCGCAGATGGCTCCCCTGCCCACACCACGCTCCCCCTCCAGCAGGAACCGTGCTGGCCTGCGGACACACATCCACCCACGTGGCTCACGGGGGCAAATTAACACATCTGGAAGCAGCTGGCCACAACCCAACAAGGACAGGGAGCCACAGCCTTCCTTGCTCTGCACATCGTTATAAATCAGCACGGTTTTAATGTGAGACAGTGGTCCCTGGCACCAGCAGCAGTGAGGAAGAGCACGGCCCCTCCTGCTGTGCAGGAACAGAGCAGGGAGTGCAGCTGGCTGGAGACAGGGAATTGGAGCCCTGGCAGGGTCATCTTCTTCCTCTCCATTTCTTCATCCTCCTTTATAATCAGTTTTTGCTAATCCAGTTAATTATTTGCAAATAGCTAGAGTTTCCTACCGGCAAATTCAATTTGCAGGGCTCTGCTCAGAAGGGGCTCTTTTAATTTATTTATTTATTTCTGTCATGTCTTGGATTATTGGCTACAACTGACCCCCTCCACCCATCTGTCCCAGAGCTTGAGCTGATCGAAGGGATAAGGGGATTGCAGTTAATCAGCCCTCACGATAAATAAACAAGACGACAGAAGCAAACCAGGATGCAGGAGAGCAGAGAGGGAGTGTTCCGCAGAGCCTGAGCTCGGGCACCACACGGACTGGCCTTCCTGCTCCTAGCTCAGTGCGCTGGGGAGGAGAACATCAAACGTTTGTCCAGCACCATGAAAACATCGTTTTCCATAGGCAGGTGCTTTTCATACGGGGGAAAAGGGGGCACAGCCTGACAGCAACTTCCCCAGCAACCAGGCAGGGACTGTGAGCAGTGGCTGGGACTCCTCACTCCTCAGTAGACATGCTTCTCCCAGCCCCCCCGGGGATGTGCACGCACCCCCTCTGTGCCCTGTGCCGGGTGAAAGGCAAACGGGAGCAGTGCCCTTCGGGTCAGGCTGCTCCTTTCTGCACCAGTAAAGGGGCAGGGCTGGGCTGGCCCTTCACTTACATGTGGAGTGGTTCCCAGCACAGACACGTGATCCATTTGGAGTGGCCAGCGAGCACCCGGCCGATCTGATTGCCGGTGGCTGGGTCCCAGAGAAATATCTGTCCAAGGGAGAATGCAAGAGGGTCACGTCAGGCCACACACATCATGTGAATCCCAGGGACGTTCGGGCTCCATTTAGAAAGCATAAACGTCCTTGGTGTCGCATTTACACTGGCAGAAGCAGGAAGCAGAAAGAGAGGGGGGCAGGAAGGCTGGATGCCTTTTCAGATCCCTGCAGCAATCAGCTGATATCTCAGAGAATGAGACCTGATCGCCCTCCTCTCTCCCTAGAACGCTGCTGCTACAAAAATACCTGCTTCAACCTAAAAGCAATACAGGTCCCCAAAAAGCCAGCCTAAGCCTCTGACATCCTGTGCCAGGGAGTTAGTGAATGTTTTCAGAGCGTGATGAAAGCCAGAGCACGCTAAATGCTACTTATTATCGGATTCTGTGGGTGAGACACATGCTGGTTTTCTCTTGTTTTTTCCACTCTCTATATAAATGTTCATCCAAAGAGCCAAGGCATTAGTCATCTCCTACTTAAGAACCTGTGAGAAACAGTGAAACAGAGGACAAGCGGCTCCCTGGGCTAGAGTAAAGCCAGAACAGCACCAAAGGAGGGCAGAGCCACCCCGGCCTGGCCTATTTCCTTGGGGCTGGTATCACAGGGATCAGAAACCCAGCCTGGGACAGCAGCTCTGGCCACTCCCAGACCGTTTGAAGCTCAGACCGAGCAACCGCCCCTCTGCAGCTCAGCACCTTGCTGACTCACTTCTACTTGCCCACAAGTGCTCCCACTTCCCCAGGCGTTTCTGTGCGCATCTTAAGGGCACACGTTTTGCCCCACAGCAGGGGCAGGGCCCTCTTCACATTCCTGCAAGAGGGAACGTGGCTCTGTCTGAGCACTGCGAAACAGGCTGCCACTGCACGTCTGGGTCAGGCAAGCAGCAACCCTGCCGTGGCTGGGCGATACCCTTTCTTGCTCCAGACACCTCCCTCGTGACGGAGCCGTCTGCCAAGGCCCGTGTCCAAAGCCTGGATTCTTTCCTGTGCTGAGGGAGAAGCATCTGCCACAAGACAGCAGGGCTCAGCAGCGAGAGCTCTGCAAAGGCAACAGAGCCACAGCCCGGCCCAGCACAGAATTCAGAGACACCAATTGCAACTACCACAACGCAACGGTGCTCTGGGGAGAAGGGAATCCCGCTCAAACAACCGGATACGCGCCTCACGCCCCAGACAGAACAAGTCTTCACCCCTTAAACCCCCACAGCCCCTTTACCAGGTTTCATTTCAGTTTAGAACAGGGCTGCAGAGGGTTTCCACATTCCCACAGAGCCAACCCGGCCCCGTGCCGAGGCAGTGGGGACCCAACCCCTACCTGGCTGTTCTTGCAGCCCGAGGCCAGCTTCTTGCCGTCAGGCGACCAGGCGATGCTGAGCACCCAGTGACGGTGACCTGGTGGAGAGAGAGCGTGAGCGAGTGTGAACGGAGAGCTGAGACTGCCCGTCCCCGGTGTCCCAGCACGCAGCCACGCCAAGGCAGGACTGGAGGTTGGGGGAACCCTCCACGTTCCTCCTGGCCAGAGCCTCTTCCTCTGCTACATGAGTCAATGAGAGCTGCTCCCTCGCCGAGCCGCAGCCCTGTACGGCTCAGGCAGCACCCGGGCTCTGCTCTGTTTGTCCCCCCGAGCAGACAGGGGGGCCCTGAGGGAGGAGGGTCAGGACCTGCCCCCCGCGGACACCCCCACGCCCACCTTTGGCAGTGAACTGTGGCGTCTCCGTGCTGAGGTCCCAGAAGCGGACAGTCGTGTCTCCAGAGCCGCTCGCCAGGTACCTGCAAGAGAAGGAAGAGCCCAGCTCAGCGCAGTGACCCCGTGGAAGGTGGGGGGATAGCGGCCACCGCTTCATCCTGAGCTCCCCACTCGCAGCCAGACCCATCGTACTTTCCCGTGGGGCTGAAGGCCACGGAGATGACGGCCTCGGTGTGTCCCTCCAGGGAGCTGGTGCAGCGGGTCACCGCCCGCACCCTGAACACCGCCTGCGGCTGGTAGATGATGTCCAGGACCTTCTCCGTCTCCACGCTCTGCCCCGCCAAGGTCTTCTCCAGCGACGCCACGATTTCGGCATCATGGACGAAGAAGGCCAGAGGCACCGGCTCATCCTGGGGGAGAAAAGGCCGGAGGGGTAGCGAGGGGCGGCCCCGGGTTGGGCTGGGGGGTGCCGGGGGAGCCTGGGGGGTGTCTCACCTTCTGCAGGAGGGCGTTGCAGACCAGCTGCAGCTTGTCCGGGGTGATGGTGGCCGGGACATCGAAGGGGGAACCCAGGGACTCCCCCGCCTCATCCCGGAACTGGATCAGGAGCCGCTGCACGTCCTCGTCCAGCGACATGTTCAGCGGCGAGGATCCCCCCGGGGAGGGGGCGCGCCCCACAGCACCCACCCGCGCGGGGGACACGGAGGACCCGGCGTGGAGCCCGGGGAGCGGGAGCCCTGGGGAGGAGCCCTACAGAGGGACCCGGGGCGCCCCGGCC